AGAGATAGGTTTCATGATGTGGTTGTACCATAGTTTAGCCAACCAGTCCCTTGTTGAGGGATATTTGATCGTTTTCAGGCTTTTGCTGTTGCAAATGGGACTGCAGTGGAAAGCGTCATGCATATTAGTTTAGTTTTGTTTTTTTGCCAGTGTCTCTAGGATCAGAATCCTGAAAGTGGTATTGTTGGGCCAAGGGGTAAATATATGGTTTTCTTCGACATTGTTACATTCCCCTTTATTGAGATTTTGCTGTTTTTCATTCCCTCTAGTAATGTGTCGAGTGTCTATTTCCTGATAGAAGTGGAATGGTATCATAGTATAGTCTTTTGGTTTTTTTTTTTAATATATGTATTTATTTATTTATGGCTGTGTTGGGTCTTCGATTGCTGTGCATGGGCTTTCTCTAGTTGCGGTGAGCCGGGGCTACTCTTTGTTGCGGTGTGCAAGCTTCTCATTGCAGTGGCTTCTCCTGTTGCAGAGCCCGGGCTCTAGGTGTGTGGGCTTCAGTAGTTTTGGCTCACGGGCTCAATAGTTGTGGATCACGGGCTCTAGAGCGCAGGCTCAGAAGTTGTGGCGCACAGGCTTAGTTGCTCCGCGGCATGTGGGATCTTCCCGGACCAGGGCTTGAACCTGTGTCCCCTGCATTGGCAGGCAGATTCCTTTTTTTTGCGGTACTCGGGCCTCTCACTGCTGCGGCCCCTCCCGCTGCGGAGCACAGGCTCCGGACGCGCAGGCTCAGCGGCCATGGCTCACGGGCCCAGCTGCTCCGCGGCCTGTGGGATCCTCCCGGACCAGGGCACTACCCGTGCCCCCACATCGGCAGGCGGACTCTCAACCACTGCGCCACCAGGGAAGCCCGCCAGGCAGATTCTTAACCACTGCGCCACCAGGGAAGTCCCTCGTAGTATAGTTTTAAATTGCATATTTCTTATTATGAAATGTGGTTGAACATCTTTCCATTTGTTTAAGAGCTCTTTGAGGGGCTTCGCTGGTGGTGCAGTGGTTGAGAGTCTGCCTGCCGATGCAGGGGACGCGGGTTCGTGCCCTGGTCCGGGAAGATCCCACGTGCCGCGGAGTGCCTAGGCCCGTGAGCCATGGCCGCTGAGCCTGCGCGTCCGGAGCCTGTGCTCCGCAACGGGAGAGGCCACAACAGCGAGAGGCCCGCATACCACACAAAAGAAGAGTTATTTGAATTTCTTTTTCTGTGGATATTATATATTTTTTGTCCATTTTTCTATTGGGTTGTTGGTCAGTGTCTTCTCTACTTTGAGAATCTTTATATATTAGGAAGTTTTTATTTTTATTATTTTTTGCGGTATGCGGGCCTCTCACTGTTGTGGCCTCTCCCGTTGAGGAGCACAGGCTCCGGACACACAGGCTCAGTGGCCATGGCTCACGGGCCCAGCCGCTCTGCGGCATGTGGGATCTTCCCAGACCGGGGCACGAACCCCTGTCCCCTGCATCGGCAGGAGGACTCTCAACCACTGCACCACCAGGGAAGCCCAGGAAGTTTTTATTTTTATGTCATCAGATTTATCAATTTTCTTCTTATTCTGAAGTTTATAACTTTTTTTTTTCTTTTTTAAAATTAAAAAAAAATTTGGGCTGCACCAGGCAGCATGCGGGAGCTTAGTTTCCTGACCAGGGGTCAAACCCGTGCCCCCTGCAGTGGAAGCGTGGAGTTTTAACCACTGTATCACCAGGGAAGTCCCTATAACTTGTATTTTAAAAGACTCATTGGCTGCTGTGTTGAGAAGAGACAGTGGTCTGGGTTGGGGTGGGGGAGGCAAGGGTGGAAACAAGACCAGTTTGAAGGTGGTGGTAATAATCCAGCTTTGGTAGCTATAGGTGGTTCTGGATTATCTTCTTAAGTTTCTGTTGATGGATAGGATGTGCGAGAAAGAGAAAAGTGGAATGACACCCAAGTTTTTTGCCTAGCAAAATTGAGTTGCCATTAACTGAGAAGAAAATTGTGGGAGGGGCGGGTTTGTGGGGAAGATCAAGAGTTTGGTTACAGACGTGTGAAGTTTGAGATACCTATTGGACATCCAAGTGGAGGTGCGAAATATGAAGTTGAATCTATAATTTTAGGGCGTCTAGGAATAATCATTTAGAAGTTATCAGCATACAGAGGATATTTATTTAGGTTTTCCCTTATTTATTTTTTTATTGAGGTATGCTGTACATATATTGAAATGTATAGGTATTAAATGTACAGTTTGATGACTTTTGCCAAACATACACCTGTGTAACTAGCATTCCAGTCAAGTATACAGCATTTCTATACCCCAGAAAAGTTCCCTCGTGCCTCTTTCTAGTTAGTCTCCTCCCCAAAGGCAATCATTGTTCTGATTTGTATCACTGCAATTTAGTTTTGCCTCTTGTAAAATGGTATTTACCTATTTATTTTATTTTATTGGCCCTGCCTTGCAACTTGCAGGATCTTAGTTCCTCAACCAGGGATCAAACCCTGGCCCCCGGCAGTGAAAGCCCGGATTCCTAACCACTGGACCAGCAGGGAATTCCCTAAAGTGGTATATAAAATCATAAGACTGGATGAGACCACTGAGGGAGTGAATGTAGATAAAGAAAAGGCCCAAACACTATGCCTTGGGGAATGCCAAAGATTTGACGGAAGAAGGAGGAAGAATCAGCAAGGAGACTGAGAAGGAGTAGCCTGGACAGCAAGTGAAGAAAAGGATTCCAAAAAGGAACGAGTGAAATGTCAACTGCTACCAAGAGGCCTTGTAAGATGAGGATTAAAAATTGACCAGTAGATTTAGCAACAGGGGAACCATTGGTGACTTCATTGAAAGGTGTTTTGATGAAGTGGTGGAGCCTGAATGCCTGATTGGAGTGGGTTTGTGTGAATGGGAGGAGAAAAATTAGACAGCAAGAATATAGACAACCATTTTGAGGAGCAGAAAAATAGGGTAGTAACTGGGTGGGAGTATGGAAGTACAGGAGAATTTTTTTTTTTTTTAATGAGTAGTAGTTCAGTATCTATATGCTGATGAGACTGACCCAATAAGAGGAAAAAATTGAAAATGGAAGCGAGATGGAAGAGAATTGCTTGATTGATGCCCTTGAGTCGGCAAAAGTGGATGGAATCTAGTGCACAGAGGAGGGGCTGATCTGATAAGGGCATAGGCAGTTCATCCATGTTGTGATGGGAGGGAAGGTGGGAGGAAGTGCAGGTGAGAGCATGCAAAAGTTCTCTTTTGGTTGTTTCTGTTTCTCCGTGATGTAGGAAGCAAAAGAGGAAGTGGGAAAATGTCACAGGTTGAGGGGAGAGGTCTAAGTGTGAATTAGTCTGAGAATGGAAGAGTTAATATATCATCACTTCACACTTAACCCTACTGATAACAGTAGAGTGACTTGGATAAGGGACTTATGTTTGCTACACCTCAGTTTCTTCATGGAGCTGTTGGTAACCTGTCTTTCAGGATCATTGTGAGGATAGGATGAGAAGACACCTGGCATTGTTCCTGGCCCCTAGTAGGTTTTTTGTTTTTACTTTTTCCTAGTAGGTATTTAATAAAAGATTATTCTTTTCCAAAGTGTAGCAATAAAATTATTGATAGAGTACAGGTAGAATAGTACTTCCAATATTTAAAATACCACTTCAATAGTAATCTAAAACTTTTTCAAATGTGTATTAATCTGTTGGTATTAATATATAATTAACATATTAATCTGTTGATCACATGTACTTATATATTCAGAATCTGGATTGGATAGTCAAGTGCCACATTTTAAAAAAGAATTAGATCCTTTTCTCCTGGTTTGCCACTTAAATCTATAAGGACTCGTTTGATAAAGTTCCCCCACTGGTTTGTTAAAAATAATTTTGTTACCTTTTTAAAAAGTTCTAAGTGACTATTTCACAATTATGTTTGATCTCAGTTCAAGTTGGCTATGCTCAAGAATGGAATGGGTTGAACTTATTTATTGCACATTTTAAGATCTATGATTGATTCATTTAAAGTGTAAAGTATGGAAATTTTCTAACATCACAAAATATAAAGTATAATGAACCCCCATGTACTTATCATCCAGCTATCACCTTAAATGACATTCAGATTAATATAGAGAATGAAAAGATCTTTGAGAAGATATGGAACTAACTTGTCTTGGTTCACTAATGAATAAGTGCTGAAGGTTTTGATTTAATAACTTAATCTGAATTCCTTCAATCATTATTTTATTCATTGATTCATGCAACAAAATTTATTGAAGGTCTACTTTGTTCATTAGTGCCTAATGGCTAAGAGCCATGGCTGGGTGCAAATCTGAGCCCTGCTACTTACTGGCTGTGTGGCCTAGGGCTAATCAAAATATTCTACGCTTCAGTTTCCAGTTGACAGAATTGAGATAATGCAAATATCTACCTCATAAGCTTGTTATGAGGATTAGATGAGATACATTGGTTTGCTCAGTAAATGTTAGCTATTATTATTAAAAATACTCTTTCTCCTTTTCCTCCTCCTCATCTTTGTCATCCAGATTGTGTGCTAGGTGTCATTGGAAAGTGTGAGAGGATTAAGAGGTGGACCTTGACCTTGAAGAACTAGAACTTCAAAACCACATATTAGAGCCAGGAGAGATCTTCAAGATAATCTGGTTTGACAAGTCCAAAGAGGTTTAGTGAATGGTCCAGTATCACACATCTATCTGCTAGTGGCAAAGCCAGGCTGAATCTCAGGTCTCACAGCTGTGGGCGCTCTTACAAAATGGCTGTTCTGTTGGCTTGTCTGCCTTCTGCCCCCTTCCTTAAACCCTAGTCTTTCTAAGTTGACAAACCTGACCTATGTGTTTTTCAGTGCTCTGCTCTTTCAATGCACAGACATATATGTGAGACTTTTTGCACATATCTGACCTAAACATGTCTTGGACACTCCCTCCTCTGGATTCCAAGGAAGACTTTTTAGGGAAGGTAGACAGGCTATCTCTCTGTGTTGTAATCACAAAGATGTTTTTATCTTCCTCTTGTATCACAGCCCAGGAGTTAAAGTCACTATTTGAAAAAAAGTCGCTCAAAGAGAAACCTCCACATTCTGGAAAGCAGTCAATATTATCTGTACGCCTGGAGCAGTGTCCTCTGCAGCTGAATAACCCTTTTAACGAGTATTCCAAATTTGATGGCAAGGTAAGTCAACGTGAAACTATCCCTTTAGGTAAAACCTCAGTTGGATGGAATTATTGTTGGTTGTTATTCTTATTCTTATTCGATTTAGATTTAGGGTTTCAAAAGGGACTCAGTAAATATAGAATGTCACTCACATTTCCTAAGACTGAGGGTGTAAAAAGGTGTGGATTTGGGCTTAATGTGGTTTCCACAGTAATATGTTTGGGAGGATGAAAACAAAAACAGTCTGGAGATACGTACGTGTGTGTGTGTGTGTGTGTGTGTGTGTGTGTGTGTGTGTGTGCGCGCGTGTTCCTGTTCCTGTCTTATCTCCTAAGTGTTTCTCTCCTAAGGTTAGTTGGGCTGTGATTAATCAAGGTCTGACTGTTTGGAAAGCCATGAAAGTGGTTCTGGGAGATGGTTTGGGTTGTCTTGTCTGATTCTTGATTATAACTCCAGAAATTGTAGAGGTGAGAGCTTCATTTCAGAATTCTAAGACATTGCTTTGCATGTCAGTGTTTTATTGAATCTTGTTGTCTGACACTGGCTATGCAGGATGGCTTAATTTTTTCCTGTTTGTTCTGACAGTTTGCAGTTGCTAAATTAAAGTGTGTTTGTTTTCCTTTTAGAAAAATGGCCACTATTTTAGGTGGAATATAGTTCTATCAATACATGCAGCACCCTCTCTTACCCATTCCCTGCCATTCTTTGTCTCTGTGCTGAGCTGAGCTGGGTTTCTTTCAGGACAGTAGCAGTTGATTTTTATATTTATTGCCATTATGTTTGCTGTCTGGCAGTCGTGTGGGCGTGCTGAGTGATAGCTTGTTGCCTGGGGGGATTGTGTACAATTTTTCTTATTTCAACACCATTGCAATTAATAAAGATACAGTTCTTTGCTTATGTTTGCACTTTTTATAATCAAGTCCTGGTTATATGCTGGTCCTGTCCGTTGTCACCTGAGCAAGGAGATGTTTTTTCTTTGAAACACTTTCACCTCATACAATTCAGCATGTTTCCATTGCTTTAAGTAAGCATATATGGACATTGGCACATGAGTTTATTGATGTTGGCGGGGAAGGAGAACAAAAACTAGAAACAAAATGCATAAATAGTATAAAATCCTAATATGCCCAGGAGTTTTCTCCAAAAAACATAAGAAAGTACTTCCAGTAAATTAGAGATTGTATCCTGTGAAGAGCTGCTCTTCAGCCTGCCCCTGCCACCTTTTCCTGTTTCTTCTTGTGGAATGCAGCAAAGAGAAGGAAGGGTCCCCCTAGGGGACAGGAATGTCAGCCTCTGGAAACTAGTGAGTTGAACTGTAGGGGATTTTTTTCTTAACTACTACAATCGATTCATTTAGATATGTGAGATGTTATTATTGGGATTAGGTTACATGGCTAGAATTTATTTGCTTCCATTGCCTATCATTGTTTGAGGATGCAGTTAATTGCTGGAGTAATTAGTATTTGATAATGCTGTGATGCCAACAAAGTAGCACAGACCTTTTAAAATACTATATTCTAGAATTTTCATTATACTATTAGATTCTATTATAAATTACTTAGGATTATCCAAATCTAACCTTGTTAGAAGGTTGTGAACTCTGCTTGTTATATATACCTAACTTGAAATTAAAAAATAAAATAAAGAAGCCATCTCCTCAGTCACAAAGGTATTATTTTTGCTAGGTATGTGTTTACACTTACGACTCTCGATGTTTTTGTCATATCAGGTCTATTTTTAATCAGCAAAGGATGTGAGCATGGCCCAGTCACCATTGCACAATTGATTAAGAAAGATTTATATATCGATAAGTCTGTCTTGTGACGCAGTGCTATTTTTTTATTATCCTACATTTTACAATTGCTAAAACACAATTAAACCCATGTTCTCATCTATTATTTAATATTGATGCATTTGGCAGATGTGTAATGAAAGTGGCTTAATATTTGAAGGATATTGTATTGTACATATTAAATTAGTCTATCTTTGTGAAATGCATCAATATGATATTCAATGACATCTCAATGATTAATAGAGAATTATACTTGAGTCAAGCCTTTTCGTAACCTAGAAATTAAAATGACTATTCAAATAACACCTCAAAATGATGAAATTAGCATTTTGTGATTGCATAATAATGGGATTGTAGTAGTTATAACAGCACCATGGCTGCCTCGAGAGTTAAGATCATGTCAACCCCTTGATAATAAAGCCTTTTCTGTGAGAGTCGACTTTAATAATTTCCAGATTGATTCTTCCCATAAGTCATTTGACGTTCAGCACTAAATTTTTGTTACTGTTGTAACTTAGAATTATTTTATTTTTATTCAGCTCATGTTTAAGAAGTGAAATGAGTGTCCTGTTTTAATGATTCACCATCTTGTCATTGAACTCCCTGTTTCTTGCCTCAAATGTAAGAGTTTCTCATGTTTTTTGATAGTCCCCCCTCTTTTTTTTTGGCAAAGGTTTGTTAAAGCCAGTAAAATATGTGGTTCTTTCCACTACAAATATTCACAATGCTTTTCTTGGGAATAACGCTTGCCTTATTTACATAATTAACTGAGTTACTTAGGTCTCTTGGGCAAATGGTACATAATTGGGGAGAGAAGGGGACCGGGAAGAGTTTGGGGTCTAATTAAATATGCTAAAAAACTACTTAATTATCTATTTCCTCAAGAGACTAACTGCTGTGAAATCCTCCTTATGATTAAACTAGCATTGGATTTGAAAAAAGGATTTTGTTTTTGGTGTGGCTTTACAGTTACACTGTAAGTAAGCAGGCATCTTTAAGGATTTGTGCAAACTGAATTGTTGGTTTTAGTGATTCTAAGGGTAAGCATCTCTTAGTTATTGTACTAAATTAAAGCGAATACTTTTAAATAGTTTTTGGTTCCTGTAGCTGGTTAATAATTTGATTTTTTTAAAACTGTGGTTGGTTAATTTCTTGAAGGCATGTAGTCGAGAGGGAAAGGCCGTACTTAGGTATATGCTTTATTGTAATTTTTACAGTTTTTTGATCAGGTTAATTACTATGTTTATATTATCTTTTTGACAAATTGGCAATGCTATCCGTGACTGTTTTAGATTCATAGGTTATTAATAACTCTGTTTACTGATCATTTGAAAAAAGACCAGGACAGATTGCAAGTGGTTTTAGGGAATGCTTAGCCGGACAAGGCAAAACCAGGCTCAGCCATCTGCCTAAATTCTTTGGGCTTGTTAAAAACAGGACTTCTGAATAGCTTCATTAACAAAACCAACCTCTGTTTTAGAGGTGAGGCAATAGGAAAATTCCTGTGTCAGTCCTGATCTCACTGAAAGTGGGAAATGTTGGGCGTGACAGGGAGTTGCTCTGAAGCGATGGAGTGACAGGCAGTGAACATTCAGCACTGATTTAAGTGCCCCTGAATATGTGGATTTCTGCCCTGTCTTTCCACCTTTTTCAAAAGAGGTCTTATTTTAAAAAGTATCTAGCCCTTTTCCCATGCCTTATCACTTGAGAAGCTTTAGCTAGTACATCGTCATCACTATTTTGTTTAAACTGAGTTTACAAATATTATCATCATCAGTAGACCCTTAGAAGTTCAGATACCCATCTCCAGTCAGTACAGTTACTAACAAAGAAATGGTACTGATTATCAGTTGTGTCACCTCAGTCAGGTTTTTCACCTCACTGAATCTCAGTTTCTTTACCTATGCAAAGAAATTAAGAGTTCCTTCCTAACAAAGCTGATGAGACCATCGAATAGGATAAAGCACCTAGCATGGGGAGAGGCAGTGTAATTTAGTTTGTAAGCAGATCTATTTTGTAGTAAAGTCTGAGTTTAAATCCTAATTCCACCACTTAGTGGTATGACTTCAGGCTAGTTACTTAACCTCATGAAGCTGCAGTCCTCGTATGTGGAATGAGATGGTGGTAGTGTGTCTTCCTGATGAGTATTGAGATACAGCACATAGGAAGTGCTCAGCAAATACCCCACTTCTGCCTCTTTCTCTCTCTGTAAAGGGTGCAGGCCAGTGATGCTGTCTCTCCTTTGTACTTCATTAGATTGTTGACAGGATCGAGTGAGAGGAAATGTGCTCTTAAAACTAGGACCTTAGCATCGTTACACAAGATGTACAGCAGACTGGGTGAAGGTGGTCCGCTTGTAGAAGTCCAGGGAGTCAGTCCAGTGGGGTTTTGACCTTTAACTTGAAATAGGAAGATTAAGACAAGTAATTACTTCCTTTTTTTGTTTGTTTGTTTGCAATGGCTATTTTGTAAACATCAGGTGAGAGGGTAGTTTGATACTAGTAATTGCTTGGCAGTTTAGTAAAACGTTAAATATTTTACTTATTTGACTTAGCTAAATTATACTCTAAATATAAGGAGCATGTTTGCCTTGACAAGTGCTTTAAACAGCAGAACCAGTGCTAGTTCATACAGACAACTGTGACTTTGATTGTGTTAACTTGCTAGAAAGTAACCATTTCTCTGTTAGAAACTGTTTTAACAGGGAAGCTGCAGAGAGCATGGGGGAAGGGATAATTCATGAGTGCTAATTGCTTGGCTGTTAATTTTCATAAGTGTTGATAGAAGCAGTTCCTTAAATTAAACTTTGTTTAAAATGTATCAGGGGAAATATTCCACAGTGTCGAGCCTGAAGTGAAAATTAATATGAATGCTGTGGCAATTAACACATACTGGTTAATAGCTTTTAGCAGCATTTTGGGATGATAGTCCTTAAATACATTTTTGCATGCTGCTCTTGTTTCAGCATTGTTCCAGTCTATGTCTGGATAATTATGAAAAAATGTTTTCTACAATCATTGGCATTAAATAGCTCTCTTCAAAGGAAGTCACTTAAAACTTTGCAGAAAGTGTGAAGCCACTGAGAAATGTTGCAAACTCAGAAAAGGTCAGCGAATTGCCTTTAGAGGAAAATGCTCCTCATCTGAACTTGGAATATTTGCTATTATCGTGGGAATGGTCCCCTCTAATATGTTAAGCTACTTTAGTTTCAGGATCTCTTTCCGAA